GGCCACGCGGACACTGCGCGGGCTGCGTCGGCGGCAGCGCGGGGATGGCGAAAGATGCGGAGGGGGGGGGGGGGGCGCAGGTAAATGGCACACCTGTTGCTCTCCCCTCCCCCTCCTCTCCTCCTTCTTCTTCCCCTCCCCTCCTCTCTCCTTTAACACCTCCCCCCTCCCCTCCTCTCCTCTTTCCCTCCCCCTCCTCCCTCCTTTCCTCACCTCTCCCCTCCCCTCCTCCCTCCTTTAACACCCCCCCCCCCTCCTCTCCTGTAATACCTTTCTCCCATTGCGTTTCCCTTCAAAATGAAATTTCAAACAACAAGAAACATTAAATTCCCTTCTTTATTGCGCAATTCTACGGTACTTTTCCCCAAAACTAGTTCTTCTTTTCACTCGATTTCCACTGGAAAATCTGCAATAGAATTCTTTCATTCTTTTGATCTCAGTGGTCTGTCATGCTATTCTAACTTTCCCGGTACATCCATGTGGCTCTGTGCATGATGCGCAGGCGTGTACGTGGCCATGCACATGTATTGCTCAAGTGGACATCTGTTTATTGTCTTTGTTAAATTATGAATGCTGTGTGAGTTTATACACACAAACATGCACGCACACATATATATCAGAGAGAGAAAATGCGAGACAAAGAGAGAGAGAAAGAGAGAAAGAGAGAGAGAGAGCGAGCGAGAGACAGAGAGAGAGAGAGAGAGAGAGAGAGAGAGAGAGAGAGAGAGAGAGAGAGAGAGAGAGAGAGAGAGAGAGAGAGAGAAAGGGAGGAAGAAAGAGAGTTAGAGAGAGAGAGATAGAGAAAGAGAGAGAGAGAGAGAGAGAGAGAGAGAGAGAGAGAGAGAGAGAGAGAGAGAGAGAGAGAGAGAGAGAGAAAGGGAGGAAGAAAGAGAGAGAGAAAGAGAGAGAGAGAAAGAAAGAGAGAGAGAGAGAGAGAGAGAGAGAGAGAGAGAGAGAGAGAGAGGGAGAGAGAGAGAGAAAGAAGGAAAGAGAAAAAAAGAGAGAAGAGAAAGAGACACACTAACAGAAACCGAAACAAAGAGAGAGAGACGCACACTCACACACACACATACAGAAAGCTACACAAAATCACAAATAAATATCTAACAAAAACACCAACCCTTGTCTCTCTCCACGTAGGCACATTTCTTGTAGTCCTTGCACCAACACGCAATTTTTCCTTATCCAAAATGAAGGTCGCATCCGCCACATTTGTTCCCAAGGCTGTGGACGTTTTTTTTTTTTATGACATGAATTATTATCACAAATTTACGCTTTTATTTGTATTTTGATTGATGGTTTTGGGTTTCCTTTTTTCGATACTGACTGAACACCAGTAAAAAAAGAGACGAAATGTTTATGTTAGGTTTATATTGGTGAGGTTGGCGAGCGAAGCTTGTGGATTGTATACTATATTTATGTAAATTACAGATTGATAGATATATAGATGGATAGACAGACAGATAGATAGTAAGACAGATAGATAGATAGTTGGACAGATATAGATAGATAGATATGGATACATAGATACAGAGAAATAGATAGATAGATAGATATGGATACATAGATACAGATAAATAGATAGTTAGACAGATAGCTAAATAGGTAGATAAATACACAGACAAGCAGATAAGACAAATAATATAGATAGGTAAAAATAGATAAACATATAGCTAGATATAGATAGATAGATAGATATAAAGAAATAGTTAGCTAGATAAATATAAATAAATATATAGATAGACATACATACACATTTTCTTTAAACAACAGTGTTTCGCAAATCTCCAAAACATATTAAACAGAAGTGTAACCATTCATCTTATTTATCTATTCATTTATTTATTTTATTTTTTTAAAGCTCGTTTCCCACGAAAAAAATATCAACAACATATTCAAGTAAACCCAATGGCGTAGTTAGACATTATAGGGCCCAGGTTGCTACGTCTTACGAGAACCTCTTTCAGTAAGGTTGATTAGAAATTATATGCAACAAAAGAAGAAGAATGAGGCTAGATATTTATTTACTTTTATTGTTCTTTAAAGGGATGATGTATTTGATTAAAGATGATTTGTTTTTTGTCTGTACGAAGAGCAGTTTGAATTAAGTTGAATTAACGAAAAATAACGTACTTTTCTTTCTTTAATATTAAATATTATATTATTATTATATTTAATATTAAGAAATATATCTCTTTGGTGTAGAGATTACGAAAAAGAAATCATATACATAACCAATTTGTTAAAATGCATGACTATCTATTTGTAAATTTCTGTGGACATTCCTCTATTGCAGAATAGGGGAGGGGGGGTGTGGTAAATCGCCCCCCCGCCCCCCTCCCCCCTCCCCCCCGCTACGCCACTGAGTAAGGTCATTCAGCGATTTGTAATGATGATTCTATGCTTCATTCACGGACATAAATATCATTTATTCTGGTGCGTGACGTATAGCAAGTATTGCACACACACACACGCACACGTATATAGTTGAATATTAATATCATAGATGCATTGGTACCATATTACTGATTAAATTATGAAAGTAATAAAAACAAGTACATTATATATTTCATTTTCTTATAAATAAATACAAAAAAATAGTACTATATAGTAACTCTAAATAGGACTAAAATCTACATTGTAAACAACCATAAACATAACTTAACTTTACAAACAACTCTCCACATTCACAAAATATTACAAATAATCATACTCACCAATGAATAAATATTATAACTAACTATAAGCTAAGTCAAAATGAATTACTTTGGGAGGCGAAACATACGTATAAGCCTCTTTAACTGCGTTTCCTCTGACCTGAATCCACAGGTGTATTGAAAAGCAACATTAATGATAACTAGTGAGACTGATATATCTTTTTTTATCTTATATAAAATCCTTTGGTTAATGACCTCGTGACGTCACAGCTCACTCTAATGGACCATGTGGAAATTGTTGATAATGTGACGATAATTAATGTCACTAGTAATGATACGTTTATGATTAATGTTATGCTGTTGTTACTAGTATTATTCCTTTCAATATTATCTTTGTCGTTTGTGTTTTTACCATCCTTGTTATTGTCAAATATCACTCTCAATAAAATGTGTTTGATGAATTACAAGTCATTGCAAGCAAAATAATCAATATATAATTTTCACTGTAATTTCTACTATAAATACTATAAGCAACAGTACGCAAACTACGACTGTATGCACACCTACATTAAAACCTAAAAAAAATAGACGTAAACCTAACTAAACCTAATTAAAATGAAATATCAAGAAAACATAACACTAATAACTAATTAAAATTCAGTTGAGCCCTACTATCCATCTCCGATATTAGTTTCGTCACTCTGCGCCGTGAATGAAGCAGAAGATTCGAACACGTGTTGGATTCGGTGCGGGTTTTCAGATGTTCGGAAACTGCGTCCAATTTCAGTCAAAAATAAAAGAGAATATCTGGCAACTCACCCCCGGACTCTGGCGTTCTCCGATTCGTTGTTTTCTCTTTCTCTTCTTCGTTTTGTTTATCTATTCATATTTCTAAAATTCGAATCACTTGATATTTATGTTTTCGTATATTGGTTATTTTCACAACTCTTAGATTACACACACACACACACACACACACATATAGTATTTTTATTTCATTCCGCCATTTTTTTTTCTCCAAAGAGACACAGAAAATTGAAGCCTATTTTTATTCTAATTAGCTGATACTTGATGCTTTCGTTTCCATTTATTTGGTATCTTTTAAAAACTACTTTATTATATTATATCACTTTATTCTCCCAAGAGAGACTTGGTGAAATATTCCAGAGTCTAGGGTGAGTTGCCAATTGCTGAAAAAAACGTAAAAAAATACACGATTATAACTTAAGGCTTCTCTGCTACATAGTTCCTTCAGAGCTTCTAATATCAGTAAAGAGGAAGAACCTATATTCTTGCGTTTTGTTCTTCATCCGTTCACCGTTTCCTTCACTACAGGCGTTCCTTCAATCGCCTGTTTCTTCTGTCGCCAAACGTCAGGTTTTCTGGGGGGGGGGGGGGGGGTCAGGTCGCTACCCTTCAGTAGAAATGCAGATACGTGGAAATACGATGAAGGGGCATCGGAGAAAGTGATTTGGGTGAGTCAGTGCCTCGGTGAAGATTCCATTGATAATCTCTCTCTCTCTTACTTTCCCTCTCTCTCTCTCTATCTCTTCTCTCTCTCTTTCTCGCTCTCTCTCTCTCTCTTTCTCCCTATCTCTCTCTCTCTCTCGAATACATGTAAATTGAGAGCTTATGTTTTTAAAAATATTTGTCAATACCATAGGCTCTGAAACTGAACATTGTTGCTTTAATATCAAATGCTCTAAATGTTTTTTTTTTTTTCTGCTTCTTCACTCGATCCATTCAAATGAAGTAGAGTTTTTAAGCTTTTATTTTCTCTCTTTAGGTTCCGTGCCCGCTCTTGGCGTTGACTAAACAGGGCCAGCGAGCACGGTCACCCGCAGCACGTAGGAGCTCCGTCGCCGCCATCCCCATCTCTATTAGCCACCAGGCTAGGACAGTGGTAACGTGTCGGCTTCTCATCCGAGGGGTCGGCGGTTCGCCTGGGGGGTTACTACTGTGGCTGGGCACCACGTTAGCGAGTCGGCATCAGTCGACACAGGCCGGGCTCCCCTCATAGCCCGGGCGAGGCTCAGCTTCGCATATAGGACTTATCCTTATCCATCTCTGTTGCCAGACAGTCCATTAGTATCATTCTCTGTCGTCCCCTCGCTTTCTTGCATTCAATTTTACCATTCAGAATCAGGTTCTCGAGACAGTTCTTTCTAATGATGTGACCGAGAAAAAATTCTTTTGATACTCGATTTTACTAAGAAGGGACTTCCTTGTTTTTCGCTAGCTTGTATACTTCCTTGTTTGTAACGTTGGCCACCCACGGGATTTTCAAAATTCTCCTCCAGAACTAGGTTTCGGCTTCTTCAATTTTTCCTCTCGTTTGTTTGC